CCAAAGAACACATTACGCCGAGAAATGGAGACAGATATGAGGAGAATAGACAAACGTTGGATAGAACTAGAAAGGAAGTCCCAGGACAGAATGGGTTGGAGAATGCTGGTCGACGGCCTATGCTCCATCGAGAGTAACAGGCATAAGTAAATAAGTAAGTAAGTAAGTAAGTAATGCTTCTAACTATGCATCAATCCTACCAAGATTGTGTATATACTATTCATACAAATATCAACCTTAGATCAACAATGTTGATCAATTTTGATCATAAATAAAAAAACAATTAGCAATAATTTAAATAACCTCAGTTCAATATTCATTATCAATAAAGAAGTAACTCATCTACATAGAAAGAAAGAAAGATGAAAAAAATGCGGGAAAAATAAAAAAAAGGAAACAAGAAAATTAATTCAATATAGAAACAATAAAATCTAAAAAAAATATTTTTTTGTTATTATTATTATTATAAAAAAGAAAAAAAAATAGTTCAGGTCAACATTTTGTTGTCAATTAAATTACACAAACAAACAAACAAACAATAAAATAACTGACTGAAAACTTTTAACAATAAAAAATTTTTTTTACGGTTTTATTTAATTATTGTCTTTTTTTCAAAATTAAACATCACAAAGTGATCTTAAATAAAGAATAATTGAAAATTTAGGAAGTACTATATAATTGTCTTATTTTAGTTACTTATTTACTTACTGACGCCTGTTACCCTGAATGGAGCATAAGCCGCTGACTAGCATTCTCCAACCCATTCTGTTCTGGGCTTTCCTTTCTAGTTCTTACCAGTTATTGTTCATTTTTATCATGTCTGTTTCCATTTCGACCGTTGCTGCTACCTTGACGTGGTGGTCGGGCTTGCCTATCGTGATGATCCAATCGAGCTATACTGATTGCAACAATCGTTCCTCAAGGTTCTACCATGCCAGACAGGTTGGTTGAAGAGTGGTAAAACCAAAAGCAGCAATCCCAAGGTCCAAAGGCGATGTCGTACTGCCGACTGTACGGAGGTGTGACGGCAGTAAGATGTTTCCTTCAGACAACCAGTATAACAGCGATGCTGCCTTCCGACAAGGAGGGGTGGGGTTAGAAAAGGTCGACCCTAAAAATGAACACCTCGCCTTATCCTACGGATTTCCGTCTCCGGCGGTAAGGTTCTTTGAAGAACGGAGCTAACACGTCGAAAATTCCCCACAAAAAGGCCGTGCGTGACCGGCTTCAAGCAGTTGTCCCTTGGGCACTGCGATCACGCTCCCAGGTCGTTAAGACCAACACTAATCCAACTTCTTTTTCAGGTCCCTCAAGAAATACCCTTCCACGGTGTGGGCAGCCGGGAAGTGATACTAGCCCTCATACCCATAACTGCACACGAGACCACGTCGGTCACTTTCAAATCCTTCCTACATCTAATAACACTTATCTCCACGACTAACCCTTCCCACGTCCTTTTATCACCTCGCACCGCTAGGGCAAACGATTCGTGTACACGGAACGTTATTCTTGGTCTCCTGAAACCACGCTCTAAACTACATGTAGGAACTTTTAATGTCCGAACATTGTGCCAAATAGGACAACAGGCTTCCTTAGCTAGGACTTTAGAATCTTACACCATCGATGTATGCTGCGTCTCCGAAACGCACATACAAGATCCGAGTAGCGTCATTCATTTGACCTCACCTAATCAAAATAAAGTTTAATCTCGATACACGCTTCGTGTATCTGGAAGCCCTGATGCTGCTTCCCGTGCCCTCGCTGGAGTAGGTATAGCATTAATTCCTAGAGCAGAACTAGCTTTTTTAGACTGGATCCCAGTAGACAGCCGTCTATGCGCTGTCCGACTAAACGGATCAGTAAGGACTCGGAAAGATAGGGAAACTCGTCGTTGCCTCTTCGTCGTCTCTGCCTACTCTCCCAATGACTGCAGCTCAGACGATATAAAAGATGAGTTCTACAGGAAACTTTCTGACCTTCTCCGAAAAGCTAGGCGTTCTGATGTAGTAATAGTAGCAGGTGACTTTAATACTCAAGTAGGTCAACTAAATGAAAGGGAAAGACACCTGGGAGGATCTTATGGTGTCTTGGCTAAAAGAACAGATAATGGTGACCGTCTGTTGCAGCTGTGCTCAGATAACCGCCTATTTCTTGCAAATACTAACTTTAAGCATAAGGAAAAACATCTTTTGACATGGCGACCCCCGAATTCGTCCCAACGTTGGACCCAAATAGATCACATCGCTATCAGCCATCAATGAGGGGGCTTGATAGAAGACTGTCGCTCATTCTGGAGCACATGTTTAGACTCAGATTATGCTCTAGTGCGAGCTCTTATCTGTCTGCGTTTTACTGGACGTAGGAAAGACACTGCAGAGAATCCTCTAAGGGTTCTACTTAATGATAGGCAAGCTAAGAATATATTTCAGGCAGACATGTAAGTTGTGCCCACCCCGAGGCAGCGTGGAATGACATCCGAAAAGCTGTGGAAACAGCAGCGATATCCGCTAGTACGGTAAACCATAAGGTTAGGGAGAAACAATGGATCTCAACAGCATCTACCGCACTGATAGATGCTCGAAAACTCATTCCACCTGGCTCTGAACATAACGAAGAGCGGAGTCAGCTTAAGCGAAGGCTGATAAGAAGCCTACGTAATGATCGTGAACAGTGGTGGGTAGCGAAAGCCAGAGAGATGGAAAAGGCAGCGGTAATAGGTAACAGCTGACAGCTATTCAGACTTATTAAAGAAACCGGTATTAGGAATCCAACTATTAGCGAAACTATCTCAGATAAAGATGGACATATCATCCCTTCTCAATCCAGGATATTGGCTAATAAGATTGTACGTCTATCACAGACCGAAGTGTTTGAGATAAATGTTAACTATTGTTCACCTTGATATTCAGTATTATTTAAGGGTATAATCAAATTTGGACAATACCAGAGACACTCAAATTCATGAAACCATTCATCATTGGACCAAGTTGTATTGATAGATGCAGACTACTTAATTGAAGTCCACATATCAAAGATATTGAGTAATGAAAGCCGAAGTCGATCTGAATAGGCTATATATTAATTTACTCTTTATTTAATACTAGAACCTCAGTTTCAAAATTGTTTTATAATTTCTATTTCTATTCTGGAGTTCTATACTTGATATCTCATCTTTTGAGTATTATTGATATTATTACATCTTCTACCTATCTGATATTTATCTTGGTAATTTTACCTCACTTTTTTTTATGTAGTGTAAAAACTTTAACTGATCCATTTTTATATCCATGTCTTGAGTTGTTTCCAACTGGCCATCTAACCTCTATGAAATATGATTGATCATTATCATGGCTTTTGCCAATTTCGTCACCTATGGAGAAGATGAGATATCCGTCTATCAATTAAAGGAAGAGTATACTGTTCACTAGTTCGCTCTGTTCTACTTTACTGCTGTGAAACATGGTCATTAAGAGTAGAAGGAAGTTGTAATTTACTAGTATTTGCCCACAGATTCCTTAGAAATATTGGTCGCATCTGCTGGAATCATCGGATAAGTAATAGTGAGGTTAGACACAGGGTATTAGAGAATGATGGTAAATCAGTTGATGAATTGATGAATCTTCATCGACTGAGATGGTTGGGACACGTGTTACGTATGCCTGAACACTGATTACCACGACGAGCAATGCTGACTAGTGTTGGAAGAGAGTTATGGGTGATCAGACCAAAATGTGACATCAGTCCACAAAGTCACTAACTTCTAATCTGAACCATGTTGGCAGATGCAGACTACTTGGTTGGGGTCCACGTGACTATCGTAACCAATGGTTGGAGACTCTGGGTGATATGGCTCAGAATCGATCACAATGGCGTAGGTGTATACACTCTTTATCTTCCCTTAAACCTTGAGATTAAAATTGCTTCATAACTTTCTTCCTTCCTATACTATATCCTTATATACAACCTATCTTTTATATACTACCACCGCTAAATTAATTACTTCTATGAATCCGGTGTTCTTGTTGTTGTGCTAACGAGGTATGGCAACTTGAATCGATGCATATATGTGCCTGGTGTCACGTTGTAGCTGAGTGACTGACTGATATATATATATATATATATATATATATATATATATATATATATATATATATAATGAGATTATATATAAGATTATCAGAACTATGGGATGATATATTAGCGCAATACATTTCAAACAATCTGATTATACATATACTTGTTAAGAACATTTGTATATAAAAATAAAAGGTCAACTAGACTGGAAATAGGGGGTAAGAGTAGAGAAAGATAATGATAATAATAATGGCTTGAAAACCATTTGAAATCTAATCACTCTGAATAATAAGTTAATATTACCACTATCCATCTCTGCTTACCAATCTTATGGACTGTTTCGATTATATGTTTGGCACTAGAGGATGATAGATGTTCCACCCATACTCTTATTGGGTTATTTGATTCTATTTTTATCTTCATAGTTGAAATCATGAGTCAATGGAAGCTGGACAACCATGGAAAGCCTGGAAGCACTGCTTGACGGCCGTTTCGTCCTATTATAGGACTTCTCAGAAGTGTGCAACGACGTCCTCGCCTCGCGAGATTCGAACCTAGGACCTACCAGTCTCTCACCAGAGAACTTAACTGATAGACCATATAGCCGGTCGTGAATGCGCACTGCCGAGGAGTCCCATAATACGACGAAACGGCCGTCAAACATTGCTTCCAGGTTTTGCATTGTTGTCTAGTTTCAATTGACTCATGATTTCAACTATGAAATTACCGAAATATCCACAAAAACCTCTTCTGATTTATTTTTATCTGCAACCATTTTGGTAGACGTTCACCCACCTTAATCTATCATCACATAGTTCTCATAATCTTTGTCTTCTTATTATTACCCTATCAAAATTTATCAAAGGGACTAATTACTTTCATTCATTTTCCACCCTTTTTTTATGAAAAAATGTATTTCCTATTAGACTTTAAATGTTCATGAATTCACATCGACAACCTCACCGATATCTCCACCACCTACACCTCCATTACATTTATTTCATTCAATTCATAATCTTTATCCTTCAACATCAACATCCATGACAACATGGAATACATCGTCACAAAAATTTCATAACTACAATACAACATTAAACAACTGTAAACAACATCGTAATGAAAATAATAGTAATATTCCATTTGTAAATTATTTGAAGCATCGGTCATACATCTCTGTATCAAATCATAATACTACTAATAATACTACTGATAATAACTATGTTAGTAGTATTGCTCTAACAAATAAACAATATAAAGATTCACCTTTAAAATGTTTAAATAATACAATTAATTTTTATTCCAATTCTAATCCTATTCAATTTGATCCTATTCCTGTTACTATGACAACTGCCACAATGAATAATAATAATTTAAATTGTCAACAATTATTCAATACTGTTTATATGAATCCTAATGATGTGAATCCTATGGATAATCAACAATTTTCTATTTATGATCTATATAATAATAATAATAATAATAATAATAACTATTCATTACGTAATAATAACCTTTCAAGATTTGAATATCATTCATCTATACAAAAGTTACATAAGACTGATGATAATGATGTTGGTAATGATGTCCATGAGGATGAACCACAACAACAACACCAGCACCACCACCACCACCAACAACAACAACAATCAATGAATGTAACCGATATAAATTTACTTCTGAATTCATCAACTACTCATATCATCAATCCTAATAGTAGTCAAGTGAATTATAAAAAAAGTTTTAATCATCATCATCAGAATCCTACTTTAATAGATCATGGTAACCATTATTATTATTATTATATCACAGAGAATAATAAATTATTTATTCAATATGATCAATTGTCTTTAAATGAAAAACAAATCTATCAAAATAATATAAATTATAAACCTGTATTTAATTCACATACATTAATATATATGTCAATGAATGGATTGAAAAAATATAAAATTACATTAAAAGAGATATATGAATGGATACAGTTACATTTTGCATTTTATGGTTATAGAAAAGAGAATTCGATATGGAAAGTAAGTAAAATCAGAAAGGGGTTTTTTTTGGTGGAAACCTTTTAGTATGATCATAGTTGAAATCATCAGTCAATTGAAGCTAGATCACCCGATGGGACTCCTCAGTGGTAGTGAGCATCCACGATTCTTCCTCGCGAGATTCTAAACCTAGGACCTATCAGTCTTACGCCAGAGCACTAAACTGGTGAAGTTAGACATTAACACCGAGGCGAGATCGTGGATGCGCACTACCACCGAGGAGTACCATAATAAGACGAAACGGCCTTCAAGGAGTGCTTTCAGGTTTACCATGTTGGTCTAGCTTTAATTGACTCATGATCTCAACTATGAAAGTAAATAAAACTTATGTTGTTGTTACTAAGCTGTGATTAGATGAAGAGTACTGTATCATTAGGAGGTATGACTGGTAAATGGGTGGGGATAACAATTTGTTTAGGTTTTTTTCTAAGCTTTTTACTTATTTACTTACTTATCCTTGTTACTCCCAATGGAACATAGGCCGCCGACTAGCATTCTCTAACCCTTTCTTTTCTGGGCTATCCTTTCTAATTCTTTCTAACTTTCGTTCATTCTTCTCATGTCTGTCTCCATTTCTCGGAGTAATGTATTTTTTGATATTTCTCTTCTCCTTTGACCTTCATGAGTCCATGTGAGGGCTAGTCTTGTGATGCACTTGGGTGTTTTTCTCAATGTGTGTCCTATTCACTTCCAGAGAGTCTTTCTGATTTCTTCCTCTACTGAAATCCGATCTGTTCTCTCCTATAGTAGATTATTGCTGATAGTGTTCAGCCAACGGAAAGCTTTTTTTTGGATTATTCATTGACGATCTTATATAGCTTTGATAGAGATGATAGATAGTCACTAGCGATGGAATTCATTAGCTGAATTTCGATGCATCCTAATGATGATGTTTACAATGTGACTTGAATAAAGTAACTTTCATTTTGAGAAATGTAACGCATTATTCACTAGGACATTGAGTAAAATTCGCTACTGACTTATTTAATTCGTATTATACTAATATCACTACCAGGAATGACTAGTATTTCTCCGCTGTTGAGATAGTCTTCATAAGACATATATGTGCCAACAAGGATAGGTCGAAATTCAATCTGAAATATTAACAACCTTGGAACCTACAGTTTCATGACTTACTATTGAGTGCCTCTGGATGCGTACGGAATATGACAATATATTTATCCTGTGACCACCGAGTACGTAATGCAGTTGTTAGGAAACGGGTACTAGGTAAGGATGGCAAATCGATTGATGAAGTAGTGAAACTTCATCAGTTGAGATGGCTGGGACATGTGTTACGTATGCCCAACCACCGACTGCCCCAACGTGCAATGCTTTGTGGTGTAGGAGTAGGTTGGAAGAAAGCTAGGGGCGGCCACACCAAAACATGGCATAAATCCATGAAGTCATTGACAAGTGGACTGGGCCATGTTGGTAGGTGTAGACTACCTGGTTGGGATTCGCGACCGATGGTTAGAGACCTTGAATGACATGGCTCAAAATCGTTTGCAATGGCGAAGGTGCATCCATTCCTTGTGTTATGCCAAATTCTAATCTTCTGAATTCTTCATGTCTCTATCTTTTCTCTCTTTTGAAATTTATTTCACTGGATTATGCTCCTTCAATAACATCTTCAAACCCTCATCTTTTGCATTACTGCTTATACTCTTACTACTTCTACCACCATAGGATTTGAATCGACAACTTCATCTCTGTGCTAATGTGGTATGGCAACTCAAACTGATGTACGTGCGTACGAACTTCTACGTTGTGACTGACCGTCTGATGACATAATATATTGGTACCTTCAACCAATTATCTTCTAACGAAATCACGGAAAGACAAAAAAACTAACAAGGTGATAGTGACTGGAGTTATGCCCAGAAGTAGAATAACATGAAACTGTTAATCTAGCGTAAGAGAAGTTTTCTACGTTTTTCTGAAAGGAACATGATCTGAAATTGACGATTGACCGAGAGTCTTTAGCTAGTGCTACTTATATGGACATAAGTAGTGCATAAGGATAGTCAAGATTAGAATATCTGGTAGCCAAAGGTCCATAAGATGCAGAAGAAAAGAATGGAAACAAAAAGAGATTGGTTCAGAAATGAAGGAACATTGAATTCTGGGACAAGTGATAGACATTTTACAAATGAAGTATTTACTTCACTTAGTATTGTTTGTTTGGATCTTCCCATCGATGTGTTTAGGACTGCAACTGGTCAGTCTCTAATTGGCATATGTGCATACTGTGCGTATTGCCTCGATATACCTTAATTCACAAGCATGGTAAGCAGAGGTGGATAGTGGCTAGCAGTGGCATCCAGGACGCGCGACACTTCGTCCTATTTGTGACTCTTCAGATGGATGTGCATGCATCTCAGAGTTGATGTTCACTCTGGGACTTGAACGCAGTACCTTTTGCTTCAAACATTGCACAAGCAACTGGCTATCAGGACTCAGTAGCTGAGTGGATAACGCAATGGCGTTTGAAACTAACATTAATGGGTTCGAGTCCCAGAGTGGATATCAACTATGAGACGAAGGTACATCCGAGCAACCATTTGTTTTTTATTTAATTTTAAATGAACACATGAATTTGATATTATAATGACTTTGTTATTCGACATTTTCCAATTTCCAATATCATAGTTTTATTTTCTTTCCTGGTTAGCGTTTCTTGAGCGATTTAGTTTTCTATAGGATGGGGTCTCTAACTTCATGCCCAATCCTCCTCCTTTATACCGGTTTGGGATAGGTAATAGACACAGAAGGGCTTCAGGTGGAATGATTGGTAAATATTAGTTTGAAATAAATAGTTGATTAAATATTTCAAACAAAAAACCAAAAAAATAAAGCTAACTTCGTTAGTTTCAGTGATTTCAATCGGCTAAAGCTATACAATCAACCATTAGTGAAATTCGATGCACTGTTGTAATATCAAATTTTTACCATTACATCAAGGTAGTAGTCACAGTTGATTCTTCATCTATTCATCTTTTTTAATTCATCTTGTCTTGGTAATGTATTATAATAACTTTGTATAACACACATCTCTCAGTATCTGTATTTATTTATTTAAACACATACATATTGGTACAAAGGGCACCAGATACATATGCGACACACAAAACAATGAAAATAAGAAGGGCAAGGATGAAAAAATAAGGAGAACTGAAATGTACAACCAGTAGACTCTTTCAGTTAAGAAAGTTAGAACCACTCTTTATGAAGAAAGTAAAAGAAAATTATAGCAGACTCGCCACTGGCTTCTATTCTGAAGCCATATCTGATAACGTCTCTAGCCACTGTGTTGCACCATCTCTCGGACCCCAGCAAGGGAATCGTGAAGGACCAACAGAAGCTAGCCCTTTGCAGCTTTGTTTCATACCACGACTCCAGGATCTATATCAACTAGTTGAATGAATTTAGTCATAGTCCTGGTATCTTTATGTAATTATATGAGTATTCATATTATCATGTATATATCATTTTCCTATTTTTTAAATTCTAATCAGGATATTATTCGTAAGCATCTTACATCTAGTCGTTGTTTTCAACGTGTACCTAAACGTAAAGAAGAATTAGATGGTCATAATGATTTATGGCGTTTAAATTCAGAATTACATAATCAATTATTAAATCATAAAATAAGTCATAAATTTTTACTTTTATGGCAAAATCAAATTTATCCTAAATTACCTGATCTTATTGATTTTATTGAATATGATACTATATCATCAGAAATCAATAATTATCCAAGAAAAGACGATGATCATAATGATGATCCTGATCATGATCAAGTTATCAATGATAATGATAATAATCAATCATCAAAACGTAGATGTATCGATGGAATAGATCATTTAACCAATTTCAATATTGATCAATCATCACAATCCAATTCTTGTACATCATCATCATCAGAATTATCTGATTTATATACTAATTCATCATTAGACTTATTACCAGTAACAACATCTGATTTAACCTTATTAGATCATAATAATAATTATTTAAATACTTCATTGAATTCTATTGGTTTGAATGATACTATTCATAGTAATAGTCTATTAAGAAATAATCTATTATGCCACTCTATTCAATCATTACCATTCAATGTAATAGAACAAGATCAATATGATTTACAAGGATTATTTAATGATCATGATACTTATTCAATATTAAATGATCATTTCTGTGATAGATCAACTTCATCATTATCATCATTTGACTTAAATGATAATGATAACAATGCAACTACTACTAATACTACTACTAGTAGTAGTAGTACTAATACTACTAGTACTGCTAATACTATTACTAATACTACTACTACTACTACTACTAATGGATTATTCAGTGAAATCCCGTCGTTAAATGATTTTGATAATGATGAATTATTAGATCCATTAGATTTAACTATACATAATATGAATTCACGTTTAACACATGATTGGTGGTTAAATAATTCTTCTAATATTACTCAGGATAATTTATCAGAATCAATGACTAATTTTATTAATTCAACATTGAATGAATTAGAAAGGAAAGAACAAGAAGAAGTAGTAGTAAACGACAAAACAGCAGTCGAAAGAGAAACCGATGAAGTACATCAAAGAATTAATGAACAAGAAGATATAAATAGAATTAAATTACATATAAATCCTTTATCAACTGAATTCCTTACAAATGAATTATTATTAAATCAAACATTGTCATTATTATCATCGTCATCATCATCATCATCATCATCATCATCATTACCACCAACTGATTTAACAATATTATCACCAAGATTATTATCAATAATGAATCCATTAGATATCATTGAACCGGCCTCATCCACATCATCCACATCAACATCAACATCATCCACATCATCGACATCATCTTTGTCGATTCCAATAACATGTAAATATTCTAAAACTAATGAAACTACTATTAATAATGAAGAGGATGCATTTTTTCATTATTTAAATAGAACTAAACAAAATATTAATAGTTTAATGCCTATGAATAATATCAATGATCCTAATGATATACAACAAGAGAATAATCATAACCATAATCATAATCAACTAGACCAGATACAAAATCAAAATTGGATTGATCATAAAATGAATTTAGATGATCTTGATCATATTTTAGGACTTAATTAATTATAAACTATAAAATATTGATTTATCAGATATAAGTAGTATATTATCCATAGGGCAACAGTAAACAGACAAACAAACAATCTATGATCCATTTCATTCCTTTATGTAACATTACTTTATTATTATTATTATTACTGTCTATGTGACTGAATCATTCATTCCTATACCATTTGTAAACAGATTTATATAACTTTCAATACCAAAATGATAAGAGTTAAAAAAGGTAGGTAAGTAAGATAAGAGAGGAAGGTAAGTAAGTGAATAAATAAGACAGTATATCATTGAATGGAAGATTAGATGATATCAATGTTATAGTATTGAATGATATCAATGATCCTTATTAGCTGCCTTATTTTATAATTCACTTATTGTTACTTTATAAGCCAATAAATTAAAATAATCTTCATGGTACCCAAAAAAAAATATTTTTTTTCAAATTTAGGATTTTACTACTTAATTACTCCAAAAAAATTTTTTCTACAATATATATTGATAGGTAAACAAAAAAACATGTTTCTCATTTAAAAGAAGAAAAAAAAAGAGAAAACATAAAAAAGAAAATAAATAAATAAATAAAATTTACAATCCTTAAAATGTATTTTTGAATTAAAAAAAAATATGATCTTTTTGTTTCTATGTGTGCGTGTGTATTTGTGTGTGCGTGTGTGTGTGTGTGTATGGAAAAGATCTATTCTTATAGTCATCATAGTTATTTGTAGTTGTTTTTTTTGTTGATTTTCTTTTTGTTTATTTTTTCTTTTTAATATTTATGAAACTTTGTTTTTAATTGTTCTAAAAAATAAGGAATCCCTTTTTATCATTATTATTATTATTAATATAAATAATTATTTTCTATAATATTCAATGAATAAGATGAATTAATTTCATTAATTTATATTGATAATAATTAAATGTTTGATTATTTTTTTTATGGAATGCTACAATGGTTGCTGGGAGACAAAAACATTGAATTACACACACATATATATACATATATCTGTACACCCATACGCACACATGCCTAGAGATAGAATCTTATGTAATTGCTTGTTGCTTTAGGTGAACTATGATTTGAATATTTTCATGAAAATTTTCACAAAAACATAAATGAAATCTATAGGAAACATTTTGAATAAATCTATATCTATATATATCCTTGAAATGAAATTTCTAGCTAATATCTTTTATTTTGTTATCTGATTTGTTAGATAAATTGGTACGGTCGAGGATGAGGAGAGTACGCTCTTACTCTCCAAATTCTCTCCCATGAACACTCGTATATAGTCTCTGACAGAGAAGTCCTACTCACCGCATTCTCGTGCCGTGGGTGTTGTTTACGAAATTGAGAGGATTAAAAAAGAATGTCTGGCGCTTTAACCGAATTGGTGGACACGGAAATTACACCTACGGGAGTTGCGAAACCCTGATTCTAAACTACTGATGCACATGGGCTCCAGTATGATGAGATAACAAATGGCGTATGAATCAATCATTGGTCACCGCTTACCATAGGACTACATCTCCTTACGATGCTCCACTGCCTTGTGGATCAGACCTTTAGGTCAAAGGCTTTGCGTGTGTACCCCTAAGAAAAACAACCTGCATCAGTGACAGCACCTGGGCAGTATCACAGCCCTCACACAAATCAAATGAGATTTGTGCGGCGCATATATATTTGTTACCTTTTTGTACCAATATTCATTTGTTTAAATAAATAAATAAACTACTATTCCAATAAGGAAAGTGTATGTGGATCATACTAAGACTAGATCAAACAGGTATTAACAATCACAATGTAATGTATAGCTGTTTTATCTCTGTATGATACTCTTTGTTAGTATACATTTATAGCCTTATCAAGTATTGAATCCAGAATCATCAAGGCTTATAGTAATTGTTCAACTATCAGTATTGTAGGTTCCTATTTAGTGGTATATATTTCTAACTTTAGTTAATCCACAATATCATATGATCATTATTCACTACCTTTGTTGATAGCTGACTGATGTCAAACATAGTTTAACTTCCCTTATTACGACTTTAATAGATACCTGTTGAAGTAATTCAGTGAGTAAGAACATGATAACTGCTGTTGTAGATTATTGTTTAACAACGGATTTAACCATTTAGTAATCTTCAAAACATCTTTTAATAATAAACGGATTATAATTGACTGAACAAACTAATGTTGATTATTATTATTTCGTATGCAATTTTATCAGCTGCTTCTTTCTTACGAGTATGAAATTAGAAAAGTTCTATGGATTCATTCATTTTTACTTACTTACTTACGCCTGTTACTCCCAATGGAGGATAGGCCGCTGACCAGCATTCTAATAGACCCTTATGAATCATCTATATGTTTGACAATAAATATAATTACTATCAGTCCATTAATCGATATAAACATCTCATATGTCAAAGTTGTTAAACACATTTTAACTAGTCAAGTATGATAAGAGTTCAAACCCTAAGGAAAACAACGGCATCAACTTCAGCTTATTAATGAAGATGTGAAGTAGGTATCTCTCATGTATATTCTCATTGCATGAGATGAATTTTCAATGTTTCAAAGAAAGACCTATTTAGTTCAACACTTCAGGTCGATATTTCATCAATCAATAACCCCCCCTCCTCCTCCCCCCTCCCAGACATAGGAACATGGTGAAGCCTTGTAGGCCCTTCTGGAGAAAATTCCTACATCGAAGCATGGCACAACTACCTGAGCGGGATAGTTGTTTTTGTACTGCTTACGTATAATCTTTACATAAAACTTATATTCCTTTTTTCTTGTTGTTTTGTTTTTGGGTAGACTCATTTTTTACCATATTTTTGAACCCTTAATAGTTATGCAATGATTCTTTGTAGCAGTTGTAATCTTTTTGGGTATAGGTAGAGTGGTTGATTAGGTCGATCTACACCACCCACATTACCGCTCATGTTAGTACATGGGATGGTTGCCATGATCCAGGAAGAACGACGAGGACGTGTAAGTCGGATTTTGTATCCCATCAATCACTAATATTATCTATTATTATCAATACATCAAGGTTATTTGGGATTTTTCTACTTCAGCATTATATAAACTACTTAAAACGATACGTTAGAACAACCAATCATAACTCGAATGTTATTTCACTTTGCATTTGTGCATTTGATAATAGAATAGTATACTTCAATATAGTGTCTAACCTACAGAAGTGAAGATAGAAAGTCATTACATTCCTTATATACAACTTTTCATTTATATACTACCACCACTAAATTAATTACTTCTATGAATCCAGTGTTCATCTTGTTATGCTGACGAGGTATGACAACTTGGACCGATGCATATATATGCCTGGTCCTACATTGTAACTGACTGACTGATTGACCGGTGCCACAAGAAGTCAGTGAGTAGGACTTCCCTGTTAAGGGTTATATACTTGTGGTCATGTGAGAGCATTTCCGGAGGGACAGTAGACTCTCCCCACTCTCGGCCGTACCAGGGTATTTGATGGCTGGATATTTTACACTATAATATCTATATCAATAATCAATATTTGAATAATTCATCTAATTTAATTTGTATCTACTATATTAGGATAGTGTATCCAAAGAATTCTATGACCTTATATATTGAATAAATAAATAGCACCATAATTCAAGTTATAATTGTGTATATTTTAAGTGCAAAAGTTATTTGTATTATTATTCATCCATATCAACCAACTATATATAAGAAGAGAGAAAGAGAAAGAAAGAACTAAACTCTTGTTTGTATATTACTAAACAAAACTTATGCAGAAAAACAAATTTCCAAGTACCCCTTAAATGGTTCGTTGTTAAGCACAACAGAAAGTGAGATCTTTATATATACACCTACCTACCCGTCTACCTACCCACCTACCTACCGACATACATACATACATAGATACATACACATACAGAGAGAGAGAGAGAGGGCTATGGTGATTTAAACAATAAACTTGAAAATTTTTTTTAATAATTATGAATTAATAATTAGTGGAATAAAAGTGAGATTGTCAAAAAAAAAAATGGAATAAACAAACAAAAAAATAAACAAACAAACAAACAAAAATAGGACAGCAACAACATAATCACCACTATAGTTAGATTATATAACAAGGATATTGAAAATTGCCTAGTGAACAATATGCGTGTATAGAAAACTTAATTTAAGCACACTTTATAAGTTTTTCAATTCATTATTTTATGGTAATTATAGTGTTAAAGGGAGGGAGGAGGAGGAGGGGAAGAGGTTTAATGATTATTTAAATTAAATTAGATAAATCCAACTTCGAATATTGAAAAAACATTTTGCTGTTATCACTTTGAAAATTTATTTAATTCAATATCACAATTGAATGAATTATAAGAATATGACTATCTATTCTAATAAATTTTGATGGAGTTTTGTTCTTTGAGTTGGATGCTTTGATCGTGGAGCTTTCATCGTCAGCACAAACTTAGGGGTAAAAGTGAAGTGTTTGACAGATTTAAGGTCAACAAGAACCAATCATCATCGAGGTGTACAGGTGTACAAGATATGAATCACATGTGGAGAAATTCAAACACTTCACCTCTACCCGAAGTTGATGATGATGATGATGATGATGTCGTTCAGAAGGTAAATGAAAGCTTCACGACCAAACCATCCAGCTAAAAGAACAAAATTTCATCAAAATCATTCATCTGAGCTACAAATCTTCCCCACCATCCTCATGAATTGAAGATGTTTGGTGACTATAAAATTTGAGTAGATTTTTACAACATAAACAGTCATTTAAAACCAAGAAGCATTAGATATAGGCTTTGTCCTAGTATAAAACATCCCCATTAGTATGTAACTAATAACCCATTTGTTATATCCCGAAGAGAATTATGAATGGTAACTTTGAGAACTATTTATGGGCCAATGTGATATATATATTTCCTATTGTATAATTGTTAAGTAACTTAACTATTCATATTCACGTTCCCTGTATAATAAGCTTTATTTTGACCCTTGGACTATTATTGTACGATTTACCATTCCTGAGTTATACCCAGTCTATTAATTATTGTTCCTCATATTCACAGCCAAATTTGGCTGAATCCTCTACGAATGCCGTTTCTTATTTTATAGTAAGATTTGGTCTCTCTAGTTGGTATATAAACTCAGTATGTTTGAGAATAATGATTCATATCGTTGAGGCTGTTATTGGTGTTCTGGTCTTAAATGGCTGGGCTAGGTAGGAAGTAGGACCGACAAGTACTCTAGACTGCTCGTGTGGGTATCGTGTGTCACTAGTCCGATCGATAATTCACTGCATTCTAATTGGTGGGTATTATCACGTTATACATTAAGAGAGCATTCAGGCAAGCCACAAGTTATAACACCATTGAGAATGAGACTCCAATGATTTTAGGTATTATGTCAAGCACATAATATTCGGATCATTAGATCAATATTCAATGATCTGCTTGACCTAATAAAGGGGTTACTTACTAAATAATTACAAATTATTTTACAGCTTTGAGTTTTTACTGCTGTCAGATCCCGCTTCCTCGGTTAGAAACCAGAAACTTATGGTCTCGAGCGCGAACGCCTAACCTCTAGACCACTGAAACGTCTCACAAAGCCCCTTTGTGAAAGTGATATTTAGCAAAGAATTAATGAAATTAGAACCAGGTAGCAGTTTGTAATATATACTATTGTATCATGATTAATAATAAGTTTACGTTACATTCGCATACTTTTCGATGATTAGGCGATATGACTATATAGAATGTTGTTTTCAATAAAAGAGAAGTTATCTTAAAAAAGTCTATAACAATAACCAGTAAACCATTTTTCAGTTTATTGACTATGGATTCTATTAGTTCAATGATGAACTACTGTTGCTATCAAACATACTGAATGAGAGAGAAACTGGAAATTCTAGACCATTTACGAAACTGAAACATAATATCAACTTTTCATGTTTTTCATAGTTGAAACCATCAGTCAATTGAAGCTAGACCTGGAAGCACTGCA